AAAGATCCCTTGGTGGTCTTAAATCGATAAGAGTAGGCTTCGGCCGCCACTCGTGCAAAATTCAAAATTTCCTACCAACTAAAAAATATTAGGTGTGTCCCGCGCGCTCATATGACCTTATGCAGTAGTGAGCACCGTAAAAACACTTACCAAAACACAAAAAAGAATGATAGCCGGAAAGAAGAGGAGAGGGAGGCAAACAGCAATATACAGAGATGCCCTGAATAACTTTGCAACAAATAACATAATGAGAAAAAATGATCTGATCAAGAAGACAGACAACATTAAGTAGTTGGGCACCATGATCGTCAATGTCTGCTCCAGATCTGACACCACAAGAAGAAGAAATTATGCCTGCTATCCATATCTGAGGCTACACGTTAAACACATAACAGATTGCCTCGTGGGAGACTGTGAGGTATGATGCACTTAAGGACCACCCACGTCTGCGGTGTAGCGGATAGGCGCTTTGACATCGCACGCAAAAGACCTGAGCTCGATATCTGTGTGGGGATAATGGTTATCGAGTATCTCGGTCTCTCTGTTTGGGTGTTCCATCCTCTCAGCCCGGACCCACCCTGTCAGACAGGGTCGAAGCCACCTTCCTGAATAATATGTGAGGCAGCATGGCGGAATCAGGCTCTCGTCAATTTTGGGGCACACGGAGTTATTGGTACCATCTTAAAGCTTGTTTATTTTTCTTCCTTTCAAGTAAAAGAGTATCAATTTATCTTGAATGCAAGACAAGATATTCACGATTGAAGCAAGTAGGGGTCGCCCAGTTTTAAAGGTAAAATTAGCGAGAAAATGGCTGCCAAAGTTTGGTGACTTCCAAAGCTTGAGAGTCCTTGGAAACTGTACATTTACCTATTTGTGTCTTTAATCAACGTTTTAAGTAAAAGTCACACAGCAAATTGTTTTTAAATGGACATAAAAAGTACTGAGCCAAAAACTAAAAACTCGATAAAAATTGCCAAATGGGGAAAAAAATGCAGTTTTCTTCAATTTCATTATTTTGACGAGCGCCTGATTTCACCCCGCTGCCTCACATATTGATTGTGTTGATGGGAGCACAAACCACCTACATTTTAAAAAAATCAGTTACCGGCTGACGCATTTTAATAGTAAAACAACCCCCTCCCCCCCCCCCCCCCCCCCCGGGCGGTGCCACTGACTGAAGTGTCTTTAAGCCGTTCCCAAAGGGAGGACATTTCTCGTTCATACACAGTAGAATTGTAAATAGGCTGATTCATCAGTTGTGAAACAATTAATTGTTAGAAGAATGATACCCCCGGGGCAGTGCCACTGACTGTAGTGTCTTTAGGCCATTCCCGAAGGGGGGACATTTCTCGTTCAAGCATAGTAGAATTGTAAATGGGCTAACTCATGTCACGGTCATAACTGTGCCTGATCTACAACAGGGAACTGCTGCCTTTTCTTTCCTAATCCTTACTATTGTCATTTTTTTCCTCTACGTCTTTTGTATGTTTGTCACACTTTTGTGACCCACTATTTCTGGGGTGCCTTGAAGGTCGAAGCAGACTTTGTGCTGTTGAAGCTAGAGAGGTGAGCAGAGTAAGTCAGATTCCCTGTAAGGACTTCTCTGTTGACATCCACCCCTTGGCGCTCATATGACCTTAAGCAGTTGCGAGCGCTGTACAACCTCTATTAAAACTAAAAAACTAAAAAGCAAAACATAAATTAAAAATTACGTCGCCTCCAAACTCACCTTCATCTAACCCATAATCTGGCTGACCGTTATGGGCACCACTATAGGTTTTGCAACAAGCTTCTTTCACTCGTCTTGCTTCTCTGCTCCGTAGTATGGTGTTCTAATCAGTCACGGTTAGTCAACTCTTAAACGTTGTCTTTAGAAAAAGACTCCGTTGTGTGTAGCCTTAAAACACCACCACATGTCACGTGTCTCCCCAGGGCCGGTCACTGTGTTCCTCCTGATTCTCCTGGCACTTCCTCTGGTGATGACCACGATAGGTGAGTGATGTTACCCATATGTTAACGCCAAGAAACATACTGTTCAATTTTGCCCTGACCTTCCTACCCCCCTCCCTCCCCCCCACACACACACCTATTCCAACCCTCATCTTTATTACACCGTTCACCTTCCGCTTTCCTTGAATCCATAAACACACACCCACAAACATACGTGCACACGCTCGCACACTTACACACTCACACACACACACACACACACACACGCGCGCGCGCATATATAAACACGCGTGCCCACACACATACACAAACAAACACATGTAAGCGCATACGCTCTAACAACAAATACCCACAGGGGTGCACAGACACACACGCGCACGCACGCACACACACACACACACACACATGTACGCACACACACACGCACACACACACACACACGCACACACACACACACACACACCACTAGCTAGGATTTTTAATATTGTGACTCCAACGAAAGTAAAGTCTGCCGAATCTTTTTAAATCGATGGATACATTTGCGAAAAGTCGAGGATTAAACCAGAAATCCAGAAAATAGTTTATTTACAGTGTTATTTTTAGCCGTCTTGTGTCAAATGTGGGAACGTATGTGAGGCAGCGTGGTGGAATCAGGCTCTCGTTAATTTTTGGGCATATTGAGTTATTGGTATCATCTTAAAGCTTGTTCATTTGTCTTGCTTTCAATGAACAAGTTAGGAGATTTTTTTGATTGTAGGAGGTGGGGTCACCTGATTTAAGAGATAAAATTATCGAGAAAATGGCTGCCAAAGCTTGGTAAATTCCAAAGCTGGAGAGTCCATAAAAACTGTAAATTTTTATTTCTGTGCCTTTAATCAACATTTTGGGTGAAATCCTCAAAGGAATAGATTTGTAAATGGGCACAAAAAGGTGTTGAGCCAAAAAACAGAAATTTGATAAAAATTGCTAAGCAGGGAGAAAACTGCTGTTTTCTTCGACTTCATTATTTTGACGAGAGCCTGATTCCACCACGCTGCCTCACATATATTCTTTAGAAAATGAATTCAATTTTGGCCTTACTCGCAAGAACATCAAAACACCATCAGTTAGTCCCCTGTCTTCCTACATATTAGGACCATCGACGAAACCAATGTACTTGTGACGCTTAAGATATTAATGTGTTGTTGTTTTTTTAATCCCTCACAATGTTTACAGTGTTTACATGTTCATGGTCATAAATGTTTTTATAGTGTTCCCATCTTTTAATACACCTTAACCCCTTCTTCCAATGTCTCTTTTTCTACCTCAGGTGTGAATTACCTGCACGAGTGCCCACGTGAGCCCAAACTCCCCATTTACCTGGTCGTGGGTGGATGCTTCGGTATCCTCAAGCTACTGTTCCTTCTCTGGAAGCAGATCCGGCGTCACCGCGACGACGTCCTTGACCTTCACGACGACGAAGACCTCCTGACCATGACCCGGATGACCAACATGGCGCTGAATGTCTTCCTGTCCGTCTGGTTCGTCTTCGGTCACTACTGGCTCATCCGGATCTGGGAGCCGCACTTCGAAGCTCCTCTCCACGAGCCCAGAAACTGGTGCGACCGCACAGTGTTTACATTCACTTTCTGGCAGCTGGTGATCTGTCACGTCATTCTGGGAATACTGATTCTGGTTGCCATGGTGCTGTACTGCTGCTATATCTGCATCAAGTGCGGTCCTAATAGTGGGAATGAAAGTCTAGTAGGGCTGGATAGTAGCTCCGTTGTTAGGGACGCTTCTCGCGTGGACGCTCATGGCGAAAAGAAAAACAATGACGTAACCGTAATGGATTCTCATGGGGATACGGACGATTGTGTAACAAATATGGACGCCAAAACGCCGCTGGGATTTCAAAGGCCACCACCGAAGAGATGACATCAAACAGCTCTATAAGGACAATTTGGTTGTTCTTCTTTCTTTCAAAAGAATAATAATAATTATGACGTTATGGTTTTCCAAGAGCTGCTTGTCCGGATCTCCACACAAAAGAGTGCGTCGTTTTCAGCTTACGTCGGGGCAATATTGACATTTAAAATGCGGCCAGTACACAATCACCCGTCTTGGGGTCGGGTACCATTCCAACGAGAACATACTTATTGTTTGTGAGGCAGCGTGGTGGAATCCGGCTCTCGTTAATTCTTGGGCATGTAGAATTATAGGTATCATCTTAAAGCTTTTTCACTTGTCTTTATTCGGATGAAAAAAATATGCATTTATCTTGAATACAAGTCGAGATATTTGTGAATGAAGGAGGTGGGGGGCACTTGTCTTCAGAGGTAAAATTAGTGAGAAAATGGCCGCCAAAGATTAGTTATTTCCTTAGTTTAAGAGTCCGTGGTAACTGAACATTTACATTTTTCGTGCCTTCAATCGACATTTTTCAGAAAAATCCACACAGAAATGAGTTCTTTAATGGACACGAAAGGTTTTGAGCTCTAAGAAACAAAATTTTGATGAAAATACACAAACCTGCGAAAAAATGCAAGTTTCTTCACTTTGATTATTTTGACAAGAACCTGATTCGACCACGCTGCCTCACATTTTCTCGTGGTTGCATGTGAACACGATGCTCACAGAGAGTGCTCTCGGTCAATATGTTGCTTCTGTGCATTCACTCATCACATACATTCATGTTTTATTGACGTCATAAATCCTAAAACCTTAACTTATCTGTAAATAATAACTCTTCGACGACAGTTCTGCTTAGCATTACCCATAGACTGCTCACTCTCAAGGCCGACGTTCTTTGTTCTTTAAAAAAACAGCAAGAAAACCTTCACAGCAAAGTGTAGGTGGGCTCCCTGGCCAGAACCATTACTTCCAGATGAAGGATGATACAGCACCCAGTCTCGTATATCATTATAGTAGAATGCGTAGGCGCTTCCTGTCCCCCTTCCCCATCCTAATTCCTTTCCGTCTTTCATTTGGCTCTAATTAATTAAAATTGGGCACTCCAGGGTGAAACGGAAACGCGTCGGAATGGAGGGTCGAGGATACTGTAAAACAAACCTATGCCATTACTATAACTCATTAGCATTCTGTCGCTTATTTCTCATCCGAGCTCTCAGACATACTCAATACTTTCAGATTCTGCTGTGACGCGAAACACAACTAATAACAAACTTATTAATGGTCATGGTTTCTCTAACAGTCACCAGTTGGCAACAGCCACGGTTACTAGAAATGTTACGTCTGAAAACTCCTGGTGCCGCTGTGGCTGCCTGTTCCTACTACATGTACCATAGCCAGTTTAGTAAACAGCAACAGCAGCCAACCAAAAAAACTAGAAGAACGTGACCGGCGATTATGTCAAAGGCCATGATATTTCTATAATCTGGTGTCTTTTTTTTTTCACCTATATATAGACACTTTTTATTTTGGAAACAACGTATTTAAAGCAGTACTATCAACTGCTGGTTATCTGCAAGTTAAAAGAAACATACTCGTTGTAAGAATAAGTAGTTGCTTGCTACTTTCATCAAATATGAAACGAATCTGATGGGTACACCGGTCTCGTACGTAAAAAAACGGTGTCACAGTAGCCAGCCACCTATTTTCAGATACTTGCACAAAAAAAGGTACTCAAGCAGAAAATACTTATCCTTCCTCCACTTTCTCCCCCCCCCCAAACCCTACCCTGTGTTTTTGACCTTACACAATGCGCATGCCAGCAGGACATCTCAACAAAGCCATCACTTCCTGAAGTGAGTGGTAGCGCGATCCCACAATGACAAGGTTCTATCTCGATTGCACTCACGTTCGAGATATTTGAGTACGTACAAGGTTGTAACTCGCTATGTCCCCTTCAAATAAAGATTAAAATCTACCGTGTTTTTATCCATCAAAATAAAAGTTCAAAGTACTAAATTTTACTCGACATTACGATGTAGAGAGGGCACGGGGGGGGGGGGGAGGAGGTACTCTTAAGCTAAGCACTATAATGTTATATTGCCAATTAAAACCTTGCTCTTCTAGGGTCGCTAAGTGACCTGGTCCATAATAATATGGTCATAAGCCCCTTGACCAAACCATGTGATTTATAACATTTTTGACGAATCGTGAAAATATACATGATATATATATATATATATATATATATATATATATATATATATATATATATATATATATATATACATATCTTGCCCTTAGTTGTTATTTTTTATTCAGAGGAAGAATAACCATTTTACAGATCTTTTAAAAGCTCTTTCAAAAAACAAAGATCCAAACGTCATCGCTTTATCTAGATACCCATATAGGCGTCAACTCTGGTTCAGAGGTTTACATGGAATCACCCGCCATTATCTACCGCACGGTACATAACCCCACTGTCAATACTGCTTTTTAGTTTTAGTTTTAGTAGGGGTTTTACAGCGCTCGCAACTGCATAAGGTCATATGAGCGCCAGAAGATTAGAGGTATTACAAGAGAGTAACAAACATAAAAAAGAAGTAGGGGAGACAAGGACGATAGATGTTTCATAGGAAAGAAGAAGCAAATACGCCGTTACGCAGACATTTGCTACCACCGAAAGAGAGCATGGTTCGTGATCGTTATTAGTCTGAAAGTTGTGCCCGACTGTGTTTTCTACTGCAATGTATCCATGGATTGGTTCTGTTTGGGTTTTTTGTGTGTTTTTTTTTTGTCTTTGTTTCCTTGAAGAAGCATTAATGAGCGCAATTAGTCATAATTATAATTAGTCATAATTATAATTTGTCATAATTATAATTTGTCATAATTATTATGACATTAACTTGCTTAGCGTGCGGGTGTTTGGACGGCGCCAGGCAGATTGTTTGGGCCTACTCCTTTTCTTTTCTTTTGCTGTATCTTTCTGACATTTTTATTTAACTGACAGACTGCTAAGGTGCGGAGAAGCTTCTCTCTTTATTCAAGAAAAAAAAAGTAAAAGAGAGACAAGTCAACGCAGAAACACTTGAAACCCTTGAAAACATTAACTTTAGTATGGATTTTAGTCTTTAAAACGAAGGACAAAAAACTACAATTGGCGTTTCAATGTAATGACGTGATAGTTCTAGGTGTAGTGTAGTTGAATAAAGTTTATACGTATACTCATACGGGTGGAAAAGGGGGGGGGGTAGCACTGTGGTTGCATTTAGTGAGGGACTTTGGATAAAGTGTGGGCCCGCTTTGATCGTCGTCCATTTGGATGGTCACACAGCCCAGCTCCCAGGGGGTTGTTGTGGCTATGTTCTCGATATGTGAAAAGTTAACAGAATGTTATAGCATACTGTGTGTACAGGCAAAAGAAAATGGCTTCTTCTTTTCCATCAATTTTTTGGGGGATTTATGTTCGAATAGAGTGATCTAACGTGGCTGAACTAGATATCGATAATTTCTTAGTTAGACAACAGTCCTCTCAGAATGCCCACACGCGTACCATCGAAAGGTCCACACGCGTACCATCGAAAGGTCTTGCCTTAATGTAAAGGTGTGAAAATTTCACACAACTAATTATTGTTAGCATAATGATGTTTGAGAATAGGGCAGTGACATAACTTTGCCATGCTTTGACCTCACGGACACCTGTTATGCACAGCTACTTCGAGGTACACAAATTCTTTTATTAAAATGGAGTATGTATATATATATATATATATATATATATATATATATATATATATATGTGTGTGTGTGTGTGTGTGTGTGTGTGTGTATGTGTGTGTGTGTGTGTGTGTGTGTGTGTGTGTGTGTGTGTGTGTGTGTGTGTGTTGGGGTGGGAGGGGGGTTAAATTACAGTACAACAAAAATCTTCACAGAATGTCTATTGTCATGTTTTCGACAACAATAAAAACAACAAAATCAACATCATCTTCATCAACAACAACAACAGTAATAATAATAATAATAATAATAATAATAATAATAATAATAATAATAATAATAATAATAATAATAATAATAATAATAATAATAATAATTAGTAATAACATTTGTATAGCGAAATGTCCACTCAACGGCAAGCTTTGGACGTTTTCAATCTATATTATTATTACCCCAGCAGATTTGACAGCGTTCTGAATAGATCTCAACTTGTTAGGAAGCATGCATTGCAAGATGCCATTTTACAGACTACACAAACTTACAAACAATGCCTTGAAACTACTACACCCAGAAAGTACCTCATATAACAATTAAGCATTTGACCATACACCCATGACGTTGCACGTCGAGATTGATACTTTTTCGTCTTGGTAGAAAAGCATCGTTTCAGTTTTTAGCTATACCATTTCAATCAGTTCCCGTCATGTGTTTTTGTTTTACGTATTTTTATTTATCTCCTTTGCTGTGCACCTCTCCTAGGCTGGGCGCGGACCAGTATGCAGTGTTCCTTTTTAGAGCAAGATTTGTAATATTCATAAAAGCCTTCATCTTTTCAGAACCAAGGTTCCTTTAAAATAGATTAAACGACAGGCTATCTGGGCAAGGTCGCCTCGACATATTGATGTAAGGAAATGTGGGTCGCAAAATACGTTCATTAGCCTGATTGCAATTCATTTGTTCTAGAAAAATATGTCCGTAAACTAAAGCAGTATTCCCAAGGCGAAATCGATTTTGCCAGTTTAACGTCTTATCGCTCCCAGCTAAATTATTTTGTTGCATCTTCTTTTCTAAGATTGAAAAAGAACCAACAAGATGAAGGCGGGGAACGTCCGGTTTTATTTCATGCATCGACATTTGTGTCAGGACGTGGTGGAATAAGGCGCTCGTCAATTTTTGGGCATACAGGGTTATTGGTTTCATCTTACAGCTTGTTCATTTGCCTTGCCTTCGATGAAAGAAATACCGTTTATCCTAAATACAAGTCGAGATATTTTCTATTAAAGGAGGAGGGGGTAGCCTGATTTCAGATGTAAAATAGGAGAGAAAATGGCGCCGAAGTTTGATTATTTCATCAGATTGTGAGTCCATGGAAACGGGAAA